TTAAAAAATAATAAAAATGCAGTAATAAAATAATAATTATAGTAATTTAACTAATTAATTAAGTAATTAATTAACTTTATATATAATATTACACGCAAAATTAGCTTAAACATTAAAAATCACATCGTAAAATTTTTTAATAAGCACAGGCTTTAATAGCATAGTTTATTAGCTAAAAGTCAGCAAAAAATTCAGCAACGTATTAAAGTCTAGTATTAATAACAAAGTAAAAGATTAAATAAGCTATTTAAATTAGTGTTAATCTTCCTACAAGTCATATTAAAGTAAATCGGCTTAATTACAAGGTACACACGGGCTTAATCATAATCCTGCTGAATGTTAAAAAACAGGACCTTAGGTTAGAAACCAGACGAGCACCCCCGGTTATCGTGGGTCGTAACACATCGTTACCAGGTCTAAGAACTGTTACCTACTTTCAGCTGATGCACGATTTCCATACACATACTACCATCTCCTACCTGTCCCGTGGAAGCTAGTGCTTGTTAGGGACAAAAGCATCCTGCCTGAAAAGAAACCACAGACGCATGCTGCTGTCAAATCTTGCAAACTGCACCACTAGTTAGAGAGAGGGGAAGAGTAGGTAGACTTCGCAACGGCCCGCGCCCACAGCACGATCCAGGTTAGTGAGGGTCTGACAGGGGAACGTAGTGTTAAAGGATGCATGCAGAACGCCACCGTTGGGCAGGATTCACTTGGAAACCTATAGCAGAGGGCAGACGGGGGCTAGGTTTGTATTAGGTGGCGTATGCCACCTGACACAGCAGGACAGTATCGTAGATGCGATGCGTTCATTCATCAATCCAGGGCTAGCACTTCGGTGCTCCAGCCAAACATATTCTTCTTGTCCATATACATACCCAGACACCTTCACACAAGGCACAAAAAAAAGGGCGGCTCTAACGAAGGAAGGCTCCCACGGATCAGCGAGTGCTGGCTTTAGATTTTTGGTACTGCAAGCGATTCGATCTCACATTGGAAGATCGCCAATTAGCCCAAGCTAAGGTATGTATGCTGTCCAGCCCTACCTACCTAGGACACGCCGTACCTTGCTAACCTTAGCCTGAATGTAACCCTTTCCTTTCCCTTCGCATAGTGACGCCAATGACGCTATAAGTCAGTAAAGGAAAAGGAAAGAAAAAAGGAGAAAGGCAACGGCAGAAATATTTTTTCTCATATTCGCGTTGACGTGGGGATTGTAGGTAGGTCTACCATATCCTCTTAACAGCGATACGCCAGTAACTATGTGTTTATACCCCTGAACACATATGCTGCGCCCGAGAAGTCAAGGTCGACCACCCAATCAAAAAGGGGGACCGCAGGAGAAAAGAAAAAGAAAACAAAACAAAATAAACCAGATACGGCAGAGGAGGCTACCTAAGCCCTGCGGCGACACTGTGTGTCGTCTGCCGTTTCCGCGGAATTCGACAGACGGAGAAAGCGACGACAACCGTGTCGGCAGCGGAGATACACACCATTGTCTCCAGCGATCAAAAGACGTCGCTATGGCCATGGTTTGGCGAAGAAGCGCCACGTCATGACCCCGTTGTCGCCGCGAGATCGACCGGTGTCTCATACCAGCGATGAGTTAGTTGTGGGGGGTGTACGTTCGTCCACCCAACAAAAACAGCTTCTGGGCCCCTTTACCGTCTTTTTGCCACCTTTCTCTCCCCCTCGGTGGCGGCTCTCTGCCTTGGGCACGATCGTATGTACATAGAGAAATCTACAACCCCCCCCCACCATCTAGCTACACTACCTACGTGGAAACTTAAGGGGGGTCCTTGTGCGCTGGCCAATGAACTATCCCTGTGTGTGTGTATGCTGCTGCCCAGATGGACTGGTGTACTAGGACAAGGTCCCGAGCGAAAGCAGAGCCGCAAGAATTGCGCGCGTTCCCCCAACCCCCCCTTGCCCCGACTCTGTCGTACCATGGATACTCACCTTTCTCTCTCTCTCTCTCTTTCTCTCCAGGCCGTCCTCCAGTCGGCCGCCCTCTTCGGCATGACGACCAACTTGCACCGTCCCCGCCGCGCCCGATGACCCCGACCGTCGACACCTCGCGCCTCAGTTGAGCGACCTCAATCTTCTACTTCGGCATGCTCGCGGGCTTCTATCCCATGACGTACCTATCTGCAGCAGCGGCTCGGGGCGGGTGCCCTCTGGGGGGCTCGTGTGCATGCTCGCGGCCGCGGCGGCGACCTCGCACCGCGGGCTTGTACGCGCAGCGGTTCGCGCTGGGCTTCATGTGCGCCCGTCGACGACTTATAGATACACGCAGCGCGAGCAAGCCCCCTGCGCCAGGGGCTGGTGGTTCTCGGCCACTGGACCGTAATCGGCGGCGCGCTCAACTACGGCTTCGCCCAGATCCGCGCCGACGCCGCGCCCCCCTCCTCCGTCCCTGGCAGTGCATATACCTGCCTCCTCGCCGGGGCCCTGACCTTCGCCTTCGGCCTGCTGTGATTTGCGCTCCCCGAGCTCAGCCTGGTTCCTGACCTCCGAGCGCCTGCGCCTCGGGCAGACGGGCGCGTGGTGCTCGCGGTCGGGAGGCGCTGCTCGACGTGAAGATCTGGCTCCTCGCGATCGTGATGGCGTCGGCGTACATGATCAACGGCGCCGTGTCGGGGTTCGGGTGGATGGAGCGCGCTCAACGTTCAACCTCTTCCAGTTTCACCTCGGCGGCCTGTGCCTGAGCGCCATCCTGCTGACGGGTTGGCTCGGGTCGTGGTACCGCCTCATCCGCATTGCCATGTTGTTCGTGTGCTGTCTCCCCGTCATCGCCGGGTGCGGCTTGCTATGGAAAAGCAAAATGGTTGTATCGCGCCGCGGTGCCCGTGGTCGGATACAGTATTACGGGTACATTCGGCGCCGCGGCGAGTCAGAGTATCACGCTGGGCGTGTCTAATGTGGCAGGGTATACGGAGAAGAGCTTCACCTCGGCCACGATATTTGTGGCCTACTGTATTGGTATGTCGGTGGGCTTCGGCTTGTAAACTCATTACCTATCGCTAACATCACAATCCAGGCAATATCGTCGGTCCGCAGTTAATCAGGTCTCAGACAAAGGTCTACCACTACCCCGAGCTTTGGCTCGGACTCATAATATGGCTGGTGCTTTAAGTTTCACCCCCCCGCCCCCGTATAAACTCTTTCATATGGACTGGATGAACTCGAATATGTAGTTACCGTATAGTAATAATTCATCCGTCACGCTGTTCTCTGTTCTCCGTCGCGAGAATTAGAAAAAAAGAAGCAGAAGTAGTCGAAGACGAAACGGAGAGAGGCAAATTGGCTTTCCAAGACCTATCTGACAAGGAGAACCCGTACTTCAGATATGCGATGTAATAATTCGTTAAGAAATACGACGGCATCGAAAACTAACCCGTGTCTTCCGAAAGCTACTTATGCGACTCATCCGTCGATAGAAATACACTACAGTGCTTAGATGCTCGACTGCATATACCCCCGTACGATCCAACCAAGCCCTAGATACTGATATTTATTTTGATGTGTGGGAATTGGACTTGCTGCTAGAACCCCCGGATACAGTTTTAAACATCCCAGGGAATTTAAAAGATCTGCTTTCCCCATTGCTATTTGAGCCCGAGCCCAGACTCCAGAGGCTGCTCCTGCGGCGGTGGTGTTGCTCGTCGGATGGGTCAAAGTCGTGTACTACGGCATCCGCCCTCGTCCCTAGATGGTCTCGACGTATTAGTATACTCGCTTCATAAAACCCCTTACCACCTAGGTCAGCAGGTTTCTATGCGTACGGATATTCCCAGCACCGCCAATGCCGAATGATCTCGGACGGTCGTCCTTGATTATCCTCGGTATGCCCATAGTTCGAAATCGTGCTGTGCGTTCTATGAGCAACGCGTAGTATGTTGTATTATTAAAAGTCGATTGCAATGGCTAGGGTTTCAGCATTGGTGTTAATTTATATCCGGGAGCCTCAGCCTGGAAGCATCCAGCCTGCTGCTAGGATGGGGTGATCATGGAATGTTTAAGTAGCACTCGGTGTCACATTGTTAAGCATCCCATATAGGGACATCCCTTCTCGTTGCGATAACCGAGAGTACTCTCATTGGATCTCATGCTCTGCTTACGAAGTGTGGGATCTAAGATGCCCTCTCCTGATGTCGTCATCCCCGCAAAGCTTGACCCCCTAGTACGATAGGTTCTGCGTAAAGATCGACAACGGAAAGATAACTGTCACAATGGCCTCTTCCATGTGTCAATCGATCGGGTGAATTTGGGGCTATGTGCAAAACGTGGGAGGCCATGATATCATCCCACGCCGCTACACTGAAAACTCAAGACATAGTAGGTTAGGTAGGTAGGTACATACTTTATTCGTGTTAGAAGCCCCCTTTTTCACATGTCAATATAAAACAATTTGTTCGCAGCTCCTTCAAGTAGGGACGCTGATAACTAGTTATTTTAAACTCTGTTGGTAAAAGTCAATGTGCGTTATCTATTTCAAATTCATCTCGAATAGTACCTATCAATATACACAGTCAATATCAACCAGACAGCAAATGAGGGGTATTAAATTGGTACCTTAGGTCAACCTACGTACTACGCATATGTTGAAAGTTGAGGGGTTGATAACATTGAAATATTGATACCAGACAGGATCTTGTCAAAACCCTTTGGCTAACCAGCCCCTAAACAATTCTGATGCTGATTTATGGTGGGTAAGGCTTCAAGTTGGCTCAGAAATTGAAGGCTTCATTCGACAACAACATCCATAAGACCAATAGTGTAACACATCAAATAGGGGAATACCAGACCTACCTAACACTACAGAAAATGTCCATAACCCCTATGCTCTAGATCACTGCCTAAAAGAAGACAGGGACCTCCTAGGTAGCTTGAGTTACCCCGCATACCCACTTATCTTTAAGCTGCATACCCCAAATATTTCACTAACAAAAAAAAAACTATGCCAAAACGATGAAAAAAAAAAGAAAAAAAAAAGACATTGATGAGAGTGGGACTTGAACCCACGCGGATTGCTCCACCAGGATATTGATGTTAAGGCTCTTAAAATCCTTAACCTGGCGCCATAACCAACTCGGCCATCTCACCATTGGCTCGTTACCGAGCCAGAGATACTCGTGATCTCCGTTAAGGTTCGGCGCTCTTACTAGGCATTATGAGCTTCTCTTTTGTACATCACCTTTGGTAATTCCCAGCTGCAGACAAAGTAGCCCTCAGCAGATTAGATTAGACGGCTATTGGGTTATATACTGTTCATGTATCTTGGAGATTACTACTTGTAGACTTGGGTGCTGTATATTTTCCATCATCCCACCTCTTACACTACCTACTTAACAAGCACCAGGTACATGATGAACAATCTGTTTAACCAAGGCGCACGGAACAGAAAATAGGTACTTACACAAACCAACAATATATGATATTTTACATATTATCATCCCTTGGTAGGTTTTATTAAGTAAGTCAATGCACTATAGCACCTCTACATTATTGTCAATTGATGAGCCTCAGCATAAGTATATACTTAGCTACGAAGAGAGAGATACAGAAATGGGCATGGACATACTAATTGACATTGATACATCATAGTGGGGTATACACTTAGGTAATAGCCAATCCTCATAGATATATATCCTACTCTTTTAAATGCATATTGCATATATCGGGTATTTAGTCTTGTTACTGCCAACTTGTGCTGAAGCTGGAGCTGGAGCTAGACCTTGACCATGACCGTAACAACAACCACCTCGCAACACACTACAAACATGGCAGCTAATGTCTCAGCACGCAACTACTCTTCCGAGCCTGATATCCGACTGGAAGACTATCTCGACGACAAACTCCAGTCCACTGCCGATTTTGAGAATCTGGATACTCTGCTTGCCAGTGTCGAAGTCCAGCGCAGCCAACTCCAGTCCCAGCTTGACCATGCCACCAGAGAGCTTGAAGATGCCCGCCGATCTGCCCAAGACCACCAGGGCGGCCTCGCCAAGTCCCTGGAAGAGTTCGAGACCCTCCAGCAAAGCATCGATGCGCGCATGAAGGTCGTTGCGAACTCCAATGCCCCCGACGAAGCGATACGACGGCTCGAACAGCCGATGAAGCAGCTGCACAAGGTCGAGCTGGCGTACCAATACGTGTCGCTACTGCAGAATGTCGAGGATATGAGGGCCGAGGCGCGGTCGCATCTGCCGCAGAGCCCGAAAGCTGCGCTACAGTCCTACTCCAGGCTGAAGCAGCTCACCGTGCGGCTCAGAGAACTGCAAGGCCCCGCCGACGAGGCCGCCGCCCATCTGGTCGACTATGTTGAGAGGATCACGCAGAGCCTGTGGGATGAGATGAAGGACACCATGTTTAAGGAGCTGGATGGTGTCCTCAAAAAGCACGACTGGCCCCGGGGCGTTGACCCGAGCGCTGAGATGGACGCCGAGTGGCTGGAGTGCTTCGAGAAGCTCATCGATCTGCAGGTACCCGAGGTTCTGTACTCCGACCAAGTCGTCGCTCTGCTGCCCTTCGAGGTTATGGCCAAGGCCTTCTCCCAGTGGTTCCGCTTCCAGTTCATGAGCAACACACCAACAAGCAGCCCGCAAGCGTTTGGCACCTTCTGTATCCCACAGTTCGTGTCGCTCATCGACAAATGGGAAAGTTTCTTCCGGGAGAACGTCGGTCATGTTCTTGTGTCGCGATTCCGCCACACCAGGGTGGGAGATATGTCGGTGTATATGGATCCAGCCTGTGCCTTAATCACGGCTTTGCTTCCCGTAATGAGGGAGAAGATAAACGCCGTGGTGCAGCACGGGCTCCAGAACCCCCAGTTCCTGAGCAGTCTCATGGTGCAACTCATGAACCTGGATGACGAGCTTAGATCGAAATTCAACTACGATGGCGGTGATCCCGAGCGGGGTTGGGCAGGGCTCACCACCGAGGTTCTCGACGAGCACTTCGACGAATGGCTCAAGGCTGAGAAAGACTTCGCACTCGAGCGTTTCCATGTCATTATGAATTCAGCCGATGCCCGAAATATCGACTACGACTACAGCAGTAGTGGTAAGATGAAGCCTACATTTGGCGCTGTGAGAGTCACGGATCTGCTCAAGTCCGTGACATCGCAATATGAACGGGTCCACAGATTCGCACACAAGCTTCGGTTCCTTATCGACATCCAGCTTGAAATCCTAGACAATTATCACGACCGTCTGAAAGATTCTCTAGATGCATATTACACCATTACGTCAACTCTAGGGCGAACTCTACACGGAGTCACGAAAGAACAAATGGCGGCGTTGGAGGGAACAGGCGCATTTGAAACACTGTGCAAAGTACTCGGTAGCTGCGATCACGTTGTTGCCGTACTGAAGGACTGGAGCAATGAAGAGGTTAGTAGTAATACCCTGCCTTGCCTTCCCCCCGGCCTTCGCTAAACGTTATACGTAGTTTTTTGTGACCCTCTGGGAACAGCTTCAGACAAGAGCTAAGCGGAGAAGCTACCAAGGGAATCTCGCGGGTGGTATGAGTCAGGAGGACGTTAAGGATCGCATCTCGTCAGCTGTCGGTACAGACGAAGACGGCGGCATATTATTTGATGAGACCATCGCGGCTTACAGTCACCGACGCAGGACTGCGGAAGAATATCTTGTCTCGGCTCTGATTGATTCACACCAAAAGGCCTTCCGTCCTTACCTCACCAAGCCCCAGTGGACGACCATTAGTAGTGAACCCAATTGTACGTTGGTAAAAACCCGCCCCCTCCCCCTTTACGAAGGATATTCGAGATGTTAACATTTTCAATAGTCGATCCATCCCAACTGGCCGTAACCGCAGAGCTGGATGAACCGTTGAGGGTATGTTAACAGTACCCATTTTCATCAAATATCTACTCACCAGCTACAGATACTCAAGCGAAACCTCACTTTCCTTGCCTCAGTACTAAGCACCGCGGTATATCGACGCATATGGCGAGAAGCGATAGAGAAACTGCAAGATATGCTCTGGGCGGACGTCCTCATGCGACAGAACTTCACAACCCTCGGTGCCGCTCAGTTTGTGAGGGATCTACAGGCAATCGTCTCGCTGATCGATCGCAGTATTCCGGATGGATCCCTGACCATGGGTACAATACAGGACGGGGCGCAATTGCTGAGCCTGCCACTAGAAGCTGAGAACGGAGGGGTCACGCTTCAGCAAGCGAGCGATCGCATATTCACAGACAACACGGAGGCAAAGTTGATCTTGGCAGATTTGGGACTGGACTCGCTGACCCCGGCGCACGCGCGAAAGATCCTGCAAAGAAGGGTAGAGAATAGCGAGTAGATAGAATGTAGAACAGCTTCTAATGTGTCTACTTTTTCTTCTTCTGGCGCCTCTTCGCCAGCGCAAAGCTTTTTTTTTTGTTACTATACCAAACACTACACTACACTACACTAACTACTAGGTGCAAATCTCTAGGTAGATCGTCCCGAGAAGAAGGGACGAAAAATGCTCAAATGTTGAATAACTCGTGAAAGCCAAACCCCGAAAAATCTAATCGCCCGACCGCCGTGTGATATGAAATTTTGTCCCCTTCTACCCAGATCGGCATCCCATGCCCGTCCCCGCCCCAGTGAAAAAAAAATGTTGAACGCCTTCTCGCAGCTTTTTTATATTCTTTCACAAACAAGCTATGCCACACATACACACACAGAGAGAGAGAGATATGACCTCTGCGGTAGTACTATTACCTAGGTATGCTAACCCTATACCCCCCCCCGCCCCCAATGGTATCCCTTAGGTAGGTACCGTACCTACCTAGGTTAGCTAAGGGCGCGCATCGTGGCCTCCACGACGGCGAAGGTGCCGGCGCTGACGGGCATGGCCCTGAGCAGGGTGGGGGCGAGGCCCTTCCAGAAGCCGCGGGGGCCCTCGGCGCGCCAGGTCTGGGCGAAGCAGTCGCGCATGGAGCGGTAGCGCATGTCGGGGCCGAAGCCGTCGGTCTGCATCTTGCTCTTGACGACGTCGAAGGGGTAGCTGGCGAGCCAGAGGGCCTCGCCGGCGAGGCCGCCGTAGAGGGCGACCTTGTAGGCGGGCACGTCGCGGCGGTGGGGGAGGCGGTTGCGGGCCACGTCGGCGGCCATCATCCACTCGAAGGCGAGGAACCAGACGCCGTAGGCCTGCGCCTCGCGCAGCACCGTGACCGCCTGCCCGCGGTACAGGCCCCGCAGCGGCCCGCCCCCGCGCGCCGACACCTGCCGCACGCAGTCCAGCGGCCCCGCGTACAGCCGCGACGCCCCGTGCGGCTGCGCCTGCAGCCGGATCCGCACGTGCTCGATCGGCCCCGAGATCACGCTGTTGGCCACCCCGGCGAAGGCCCCCGCCGCGTAGTACTGCGTGTAGCTTAGGGGGGGCGGAGAGGAGGAGGAGGAAGGGGAGGACAGGGCGCGGCCGGCGTTGACAGACTCGAAGTAGCGCCGCGCGTACCCGAAGGCGCCGAACTGGACGGACACGCAGGCGCCGATGCCCAGGAGCGGCGTCAGCGTGCCCTTGTAGAAGGCGAGCGGGCCCTCGTGCTTGTAGATGGAGGTGGCGGCGTCCAGGGCGGAGCTGTACTGCGCGCTCGTCTGGAGGCGCACTTTGACGATATCGAAGGGCTGGCCTGGCGTTAGAGGATAGGGGGGTTAGTTTACTGGACTTTTCGTTTATATATATATATATATATATATATAACAGAGAATGCAAACATATTCCCTGTCGGGGGGAAGCATAAGAAGAGAATCAAACTCACCGATTAATACTTGCGCGATTCCTCCCACGGCACCGGCGAAGAGGTCCTTCGCCGTGTCGAGAGCACCGCCCTTGGTGTCGAGATCCTGCACTGCGTCGGCCATCCTGTCCTAAGCCTACAGGGCTAGCTGATGCTGCTGGCTTCTGCTCTGCTCTACTCTGCTCTGCCCCGCGCGCGCACACACACACTCTCTCTCTCAATTAGTTTTTTTTTCTCTCCCAGTCTCACAAATTCCGTCGATTACCTCCGGGAAATTAAAATATAGGACCGGTGCTAATAAGGAAAAGAAAAGAGGACAAGGAAAAGAAGATGAAGGGGAAAAAAGGGAGGG